GCAGACCTATGCTTCCCTTCGCTCCACAGCCTTGGCCCTGCATGCTGGCTCTGGGATTTTTTAAGGCGCAGCCAACAGGTAAGCTTCGCAGGGTCTCACCTGCGCACCCTGCTTGTCCTGCTGGTCGGTTTGCCTTTGATTGTATGGCAGGCTAGCGATTGTTCTCTTTGTTTCTTCACTCTGACTCAGCCAGGAGCTCAGCCCACACTAGCCAGAGGCCAGAGTGCCCAGAGATTGGCTCCTGCCTTGGAGCCCTTGTCTGCTGACATTCAGTTATGAGCGACCGTCTCCCACTGTCTGTGCTCATACAGGTCTCTGGCCCAACAGGGACTCAGCCTTAGATTTACTCCCAGTGAAAGGTCTCTTTTCCCTCTGGAGAGTCCGCTCTGGAATGTGCAGGCCATCTTTTCTCCTCTCCCAATGAGAGCTTGACACCAACGGGCATTTCTGTGGGTGCGCACCAAGGCTCGTGGGTGGAACTGGGTGAAGTTTGCGGCACGTCACTTCTCCGAGGCTCTGCTCACACCATGTTTGCTTGGCCCATTGCAGGCGGGGTTTTTCCTGCCCCTCAGTGGCGGGGTGGACAGCGCAGCCACTGCCTGCCTCGTCTACTCCATGTGCCACCAGGTCTGCGAGGCTGTGAAGAATGGAAGTAGGTGACGTCTGTCAGTCTGAGCTGGGCTCCCATTGGGTCCCAGGGCTGGGCAGAGGGAAAGCCCGCTGCCAGGCATCATGGGTGCAGGAGGCTCTGTGGGCATGCACGAATGTCATGACACCACGCCTGAGCCCCAGGGCCTGGGGACAGCAAGGCATTACAGCCCCTTCCCAGGGCTTTGGGCCAATGCCTGTGTCTGTCAGGCCACTGCTGCTGTGTGTCGGCACCGTGGCCTGGGGAAAGGACATCGGCTCTGGGTCAGGCAAACCCAGGGTCCGACTGCCCCTCTGTGTGCTGTGACACTGAACGCTCCCTTCGTGTACCCAACGGGTACACTTCGTGTACACTTAACCTACCAGGGCAAATGGGGAAGGGCTAAGCCAAGCATGCACCTTGCATGTGCAAGTGGCTGCTACCTTTCTGTGTGGCGGCTTCAGATCAGCAAGTTCTGGCTGACGTCCAGACCATCGTGAACCAGACCAGCTACACCCCTCAGGACCCCCGGGACCTCTGTGGACGCATCCTGACAACCTGCTACATGGCCAGTGAGAACTCCTCACAGGAGACGTGCAGCAGGGCCCGAGAGCTGGCCCAGCAGATTGGAAGGTAGAGTTGGCCATGTTGGGCATGGGTGGGCGGCCGTGACGAGGACCCAAGCTGCCTGAAACCCAACTTGTGCGGGGCGTGTGGCTGAACGTGCAGGTTTCTACTCTCGGTCTGGGCCAGGTTTTAGGGAAACCGTCAGTTCCACCCCAAATCTTGTGCCATGTCTAAATGCACCCCCTTCCCATCCCTGTGTCCCAGGCACAGGCCACCAGGGTGGATATGCCCCCCAGTGGAGCCCCGGGCAGCTCATGGGAGTGGGCAGTGCCACCCCCCCACTGCCTTCCCCCAGCCGTGCTCCACTTGAGGGAGTGGACAGAGGGCATCTTCCCAGGCAGGGAGACTCGGTCCCCACAGAGGGTTCCACTTACACTGCCCCGGGAGCTGCCCGTCCTGAGTGTGAGCTCAGCTAAAAGCTGCCTCCTTCCGCTCAGTGATTCTGCCCCTCCATCTGCCCCCAGAGGAAGTGAAAGCAGGCACACGAGTAGATGTTTGCACACCATGTTCACAGCAGTGCGATTCCCAACAGCCAAAGGTGGAGGCAGCCCAGGTGTCCATCGGTGGACGCCTGGGCAGAACGGGACCCATCCACGCCCGCAGTGCTACTCAGCCCTCGCAGGGAATGAAGGCCTAGTGCCCTCCCACGCGGGCGGCCTTGGGGCATTCTTGAGTGAGATAAGCCAGTCACAGAGGGACCACACGTCATATGATCCCATGTCTATGAAATGTTCAAACAGGCAAGTCTGTAGAGCCAGGGCGTGGATTCGCTGTCGATGGACTGGAAGAGGACAGAATGGGAAGCGACTGCTAATGGCACACGGTTTCCCTCTGGGGTGATGGGAAATTCTGGAAAGAACTAGAGGTGGTGGTCACACACCACGTGACTGAAGGCCCCTGGACCAGGCACTATAAAATGGCTAAAACGGTGGTTTTGTGTGTGTGCCTCACCATGTGCGCACACACCCATGCCCGCCCACCCTTCTTCCAGCCACCACGTGGGTGTCAGCATCGACCCAGCCGTGAAAGCCATGGTGGGCATCTTCAGCCTGGTGACGGGCAAAAGCCCCCTCCCCGCGGCTCACGGAGGGAGCAGCAGGGAAAACCTGGCTCTGCAGAACGTGCAGGTGCGCTCCGACCCGGGCCGCCCATTGCCTGGGGCACAGGGAGTCCTGGCACGGCCGGTGCTGGGGCGCCCACGCGTGCCCTGATCACAGCCTCGTGGGCAAGGGGTCTGCCCGTGTGAGTGCGGGCTTCGCAGGGGACAGCATATGTGCACGTTTGAGGGAGCATGAGTGAGTGTGCTTACTATGAAGGCACTGGTGTGGGGGTGCATTTGTGTGCATGTGTGAGTGCGTTGGCATGAGTGTGCACATGTGTGTGTTAGCATGAGTGCAAAGGTGTGCATGTGTAGCATGAGTATGACTGTACGAGAGTGAATATGCATTAGCATGTAGGCACGTGTGTGAATGCAAGAGCATGTGTGAGTGCAAGGGGTTGGGTGTGTCAGTGTGAGGTGTGTAGTGGGGGTGCTTCTGCCCTGCGGGAAGATCACACACCGCCCTGCCTGCTGGCTGTGTGGAGGGAGGTGGTGATCCCTGTCCCTGCTGGACATGGCGGCCTCCCTCCTGGCCAGAAATGTCAGTGGTGCAGGGGGCAGATGGCGGGGGCCGAGATTTCTCCCAGCTGCGGGGCTTCCTGTGGTTGACATGGCCACCACCCAGCGCACATGAGCACCATGGAGGTGGCCAACCCCGCAGGAGCACAGCGGGACTCGGGCGACTTTCTCCAACACTAGAAAGCCCCCAAATTGCTTGACCTTCCTGTTTTCCCGAGGCAGGTGGGGAGAGCCCTCTGTTGGGGCGGTAGCGTGCGCCCTGTGCCCTGTGCAGGCTGACGTGTCCCCTCGGTCCTCCAGGCTCGGGTGAGGATGGTCATCGCTTATCTGTTCGCTCAGCTGAGCCTCTGGTCCCGGGGTGCTCGGGGTGGACTTCTGGTGCTCGGGTCCGCCAACGTGGATGAGAGGTGGGTACAGCCTGGGGGTGTGGTCCCAGCTGCCGAGCACCCCGGTCTGAGGGTGAGCACCCACAGAGGCGGCCTCCACAGCGCCTCACCAATGCCCGTGGTGTCTGTGAGACGCAGGAGCGGGGGAGTCATGTGGTCCCGTGTCCCAGGCCGCAGTCGGCACCCCTGGCGACAGCACCACCCCGACACCCCGCAGGGCCCCGCCGTGGGGAGGGCTCAACACTGTGCCCTCCGGCCCCCGCCCTCCTGCCGCCTTGGCCACGCTGCCCTCTCCTGAGCGCGTCCACCACATCCACCTGGTGTCCACCCCAACTGGGTAGCTCATCTTCGGTGTGGGCCGCAAACGCTCTCATATTGCTCCCTTCTTTAAAAAAATTACAAGCTTGCCTAATGCTTTGCAGAGACGTTTCAGCCAGCACTCAGGCTGAGCAGCTGGGGGGCCCTTCCCCAGCCTCAGCTTCCCCTGCGTGAGCCCCTGTCTCCTTCCAGGGAGCCCTGCTCCTCGTTTACTGAGGAATTCCAGGAACCTCATCTGTCATGTATTCCTCTCTTCACGTACACATGGCTGTGTCCACCCATCATGCCATCCACCCATGTACCCACCCGCCCACCCATCCATCTTTCTATCTATAGATAGAGAAGGGAACGGGTCCAGGAGCTGTGCCCTGACACTCCTTGAGTTTAGGAAGCTGGAGGAGCTGAGGTGGCCCCGGACAAGAGGAGACACAGCCAGGCAGGTGGGAGTGAAGCCCAGAGAGAGTGGCACCCAGAGCCAGGCCGAGAGGCTGAGGGTGGGGGTACGGGCGCTCACTGACCAGATGCAGTGGGTGTCGTGGCCGCAGGGCTCTGCAGACTGAAGATGGGTGTGGACCTTGATGAGGGCAGCTTTGCTGGAGGGCCCCCAGGGGACAGCTCAGGAGAGAAAGGGAGGGGCACTGGAGACAGCCCCAGGAAACTCGGTTTGGGGGGCACGGGAACATGGGGCCAAGAGGCCTTGAAGGTGAGCAGCCAGGAGCATTGCTTTCACTAAGGGAGGTGAGAAAGGAGGGGAGAGCCGACACCGTGTGGACAAGGGAGCAGCACAGACGCGTTCAGATTTGGGAACTGCCCCTCACGTGCCCGCCTTGGTCAGCTCAGGCCCCTTACCACCCCCTCCAGGCAGCTTGAAGGGCAGACATTCATCTCAGCCCTGGAGGCCGGAGGTCCGCGGATGCCTCGGTTCCCAGCGGGAGCAGGCCCCCCAGCTCGCAGCCAGCCACCTCGGCTGAGTCCTTACGGGGTGCAGAGAGCTGTCTGCATCTCTTTCTTACAAGGACACTGGTCCTACTGGTTCAGGACCCCCTTGTGACCTCATTTAACCATAATTGCCCCCGGAAGACCCCATCTCCAGACACAGTCAGTGGGGGCTTGGAAGCTTCACCTCGTGAACTTTGGAGGCATGAACAGGATCCTCAGCAATGACCTTCAGCCAAGTTGTCCTTTCAGTCCGACCAGTCCGGGAATCAGTTTTAATTCGGGCAGAAAGATCTCGGGTCCTTTTTAACACACAAACAAATGTGCAGACCCGGCCCCAGGTGACCACCTCCCTGGTGTTCGCCCCGCCCCGAGGGCTGACCCCAGGTCCCACACGTGCAGGGGAGGTGCCTGACTCTGCCGAGCACGTGCATCTTCGAGGGTTGTTGGGGTGAAGGAGCCACGGACAGAGATGAGACAACCTTACAGCCAGGAAATGCTGTACATGCCGACAGACCATTTAACTCAGCTGTCCCCCGACAGGACAGACACCCTCGGGGATGACTGAGGACCCTACAGGGCCAGGCTTTCCTGGTCCTGGCATTAGTGTGAGCTTGGTGAGGTAGGCAATAGCTGGGAGGCCTGTAAACCCAACATTTTGGAGGACGTCCTCACAGGCTAGTGTGGTCAGGAACCACCCTGGATGCGGTGGCGAGCTGCGGAGTGGTGGCGGGGTTGGGGGGGACAAGGGGCCCCAAAGTCAGCAGCATTGAAAACACAGGGCTCGCTGACCGCCCTTGGGGTAGCAATCCTGCACAGGGCTCACCGGGCTGAGATTGGTGTGGACAGGACTCGTTCCCATGGAGGCTCCAGGGAGAGTCTGCTCCTGACCTCCAGCCCCTGGTGCCGCCCTGTCCTCGGCTCATGGCCGTCCTCCACCCAGAGCCGGCTGGGCAGCATCTGACCTTTGCTCTGTGGTCCCAGCCCCTCTGCCTGGCCCCCTCCCTCCTTCACTGCAAGGACCCCTGTGTCTGTCTGGGGCCCATCTCACCTAATCCAGGACAAAAACCTCATCTCACAACCCTTGACTTGATTGCACTCTGAAGTCCCTGTGCCCTGTGAGGGCACATTTTTGAAGGTCCCAGTATAGGACGTGGACATTTTGGGGCCACTCTTCTGCCCACCTCAGGAGGTGTCTGGCAGTCAGAGGTAACAGGCATGGGGGAGTTGCGCGTGCTCAGCATCCACGTGTGCTGAGGGCCTTTCCCTCCTCCCACCACCATTCTCTGCTGACCCTCCCTCACTGAATGGGCTGCCCAGCTGGAAACTGGTCGTCCCAGGCCGGTTTCCTGGCCTCAGTGTCCTCTCCGGCAGGCCGAATACCTCTCCTCAGTCACCTGCAGCCTCTGCCCCAGCCAGACCCTCCAGTTAGACCAGCTCTGGCTCCCAGGCCCCAGGAAGAAGTGAAACTGGGTGACTGGGGACTGAATGGCTAGGCCCCCAAGTGGCGGGACCAACAGCCCTTTGGCTCTGCCACATGGGAGCCATGTGCACCCTTGCCCCTGCAGCCTCGTCGGCTACCTGACCAAGTACGACTGCTCCAGCGCAGACATCAACCCCATCGGGGGGATCAGCAAGACAGACTTGAGAGCCTTCGTCCAGTTCTGCATGGAGCGCTTCCAGCTTCCCGCCCTGCAGTGGTGAGTGTGACCCCAGGTACACGCCCTGGGCCCCTAGCCCCGCTCAGCCACCTTCCACGGCTCCCCACCACCTGGTGAGAGCAGTCCTGCCCTTCAGTGGGCCCTTGGGGTGCCGTGACTAGGCCAACCCCTTCTTTTCTGGCCATGGCCCCCCAGCACGGGACGCTGGGCAATGCCTGGACACTTCTGTGGTTAGCATGAGAGGGTGTGCTCCCCGCATCCAGTGGGAGGAAGCTCCTACATGTCCCACAGTGCACAGCATTGCCCCACAACCAGGCGTGCCTGGCCCAGCACATGGGGGGTGCCTCAGTAGAGAAGCCCTGCTGCGGCTCCCGCCACCCATCCCTGCTCCGCGCCCCTCTCCCCAGGAGCTCGCCCCTGGCTTTGCCGATGCCACTGGGTCGACAGCGGCGCTGCTGAGACTGGCCGGTGCCTGTGGGACAGTGGGCGTGGGGACCTGTCCCCAGGCTCCTGACATGCGGTAGCATCCTGATCTGTGTGTATCTCGGTCACAGCATCCTAGCAGCGCCGGCCACCGCAGAGCTGGAGCCCTTGGTCGACGGGCAGGTGTCTCAGACCGACGAGGTGATGGCGGAGGCTTTTTCGCCTCACTTCCCGTGACTCTGCTCCCGCCTTTCTGCATTGGGCTCCCTCGCCGAGCCTTAAGGGGAGTGGGCTCCCCGGGGCTGGGCTCAGGGCCTGTCTGCGGGCCTCACCGGGCCTTAGGGGGAGCAGGCTCCCTGGGATTCCTCGGATGGCTGAAACAAAACACTCAGACCCAGGGGCTTCAACAACAGAACTCTGTTCTCTCCTAGTTCTGGGGGCAGAGTCTGGAATCAAGGTGCACTCCCTCCAGGGCCCCCAGGAGAGGGTCCCCCCTACCTCCTCCAGCTTCTGTGGCCCCAGGCATCCTGGGCTTGCAGCCACGTCCCTCCAGCCTCTCCCTCTGTGGTCACCTGACCATTTCTGTTCTGTCTCTGTTCTGTTTCTTACAAAGAAACTGTCATTGGATTGAGAGCCTGCCCTAAATCCAGGGTCATCTCATTTGAGATCCTTAGTTATATGTACAAAGACCTTTTTTCAAAATAAGTGCATGATTTCTAGCTTCTGGGATGTAGGCATACTTTCCGTGGGGGCCCCGGTCCAGTGGCCTCCGTCCTGGCCTGTCGGCTGGGAGTCAGCCGGGGCCTCTGCTCCTGGCCCTTCAGAACGTCCCCTCCTCTGGGTCTCGGTCCCCGACTCCAGAGGAAGCTTCAGGCTCTGCTGCCCTTCTGTTACTCCGTGAAGCGTGTGTCTTCCTCCCCAGGAGGACATGGGGATGACGTACGCAGAGCTCTCCGTCTACGGGAGGCTCAGGAAGTCGGCCAAGGCCGGTCCCTTCAGCATGTTCTGCAGACTCCTCACCGGGTGGGGCGACACCTACACACCGCGGCAGGTAAGCAGCACATGACGTTCCCGGGGGAGGCTGGCCGGTGCCCGCACCTGGCAGTGGAGCTGGCTCGCGGGAGCACAAGGTAACACTCCGTCTCATACTGAGCTGCCCCTGCTGGGGCTCTCCCCACACCCCAACTAGTTTGGCCAGGCGGGCATGACTGTGCTGCCCACAAGCGCCTGCCCATATGGGGGGCAGTAGGTAAATGTTGAGGTCAGAATATTGCTGTTTTTGTGCTAGTTATCAGGCCCATTAGGGCTGAAGCCCACAAACACGGGGTCCCCACAGAACCGCCCGCAAGTGTCATGAAATGTATTTTCCTAGGATCCCTGCTGGGGTCTCCTGGGGTGCTGGACCCCCATTTTTATAGCTCTGCCAGCTGCCCCAGCGCGAGCACAGGCATTTGTCCACTCCTGCTTTGGGAAGTCCAGGTGCAGCAGCGGAGCCCGGGAGCTGAAACAGCCCAGTGTGACACAGCCGCGCCCCGGCCTCCGGCCTCCCCAGCTTCCCAGCCGTGAAGCCCTGTGTATTCCTTGCCTACCAGGTGGCCGACAAAGTGGAGCGATTTTTCTCAAGGTATGCCATGAACAGACACAAGATGACCACCCTCACACCCGCCTATCATGCTGAGAACTACAGCCCCGACGACAACAGGTTCGACCTGCGGCCCTTTCTCTACAACACGGGCTGGTCTTGGCAGTTTCGGTGCATAGAAGATCAGGTGAACCGGGCAGCGGTGGGTTTCTCTGTGTTAAGTATCTGCCGTGGAAACATCGGCTCCTCTCCGTTGAGGGTTTGAAAGCGTCTGTATGCACACACTGGGGTTGTTTACTGTCCCTGTTCTGCAAAGGGGCCGACACACCTGGAGTCGGGCTGAGCTGGCGTGTGTGCCCTTGTGTACATCCCCGCGTCCTGTGTCCTAGAGTCACTGTCATTTCCAGACAGCTGAAGTGTTCAGGCGGCTCCACATCTCCCAAAACGCCGTTTTCCTTTCTTTTGCTAATTAATTAACCAGAAAATAAAGGAAGGAATAATAAAATAAAATCAGTCAAAAAGCAGACAGGTCCTGCCCCTCCCCTTTTCCAAGGCAAAGCGCTAGAACCTCGATAGGAGGTCAGATGCAGCTGCTGCCCAGGGGGTACCGGCCAGTTGGCACACACAGTGCACCAACAGTGGTAAGTGGGGCGATCACAGGGCTGGGCCAGAGAATGGGAGGCCAGAAGGAACCCGCTCCATCTGGTGATCGGGGAGCGTCTCTGAGGAGCTGAGGGGTGAAGTCAGCAGGGGACTGACCCCATGTAGTTCTGCCCATCCAAGGCCATAGTTCCCGGGAGGGTTGGTGCCCCCTCATGACATCAGGCAATGTCTGGGACAGACGCTTTGGTTATCTCCTGGCTGGGGTCCAGGTGTGCTGCTAAGCATCTTGCCATGCACAGAACACCCACCTCCCACCACAGAATTGGGGAGGCGGGGCTTATGCCCCAGAAGGCACCATAGGTAATGGATCCCCCAGATCGGGCCAGAAGTTAGCAAATATAGGAACCTTAGGATACACATGGGAGAACGTAGTCGCCTGCAGACTTGTGGTCCCGCCCTGAGCACCACGATGTGCTGACGCAGGCCCTCCCTGGATCCCCTGGCGCATGTGCTCTGCATCTGGCACCCAGCAAATACCATTTGGTAACTTTGCTTTCAGCCCGTGACTGTGACCCTCTTAGGTGTGGGGTGGGCCAGTGTCCTTGCAGCCTGTAGACGCTGTTTCACGTGGCTTCCCTTCTAGGTTCTGCAGCTGGAGAGGAGAGCGCAGCAGGACCTGGACGATGTGGACTGACGTCAGGTCCTGTGGGGGGCTCCTCTCCCACCAGGGCCCCCATCTCGCAGTGGCCTCACTGGTGGCCTGGAGCAGCTCGTCAACGCCTTGTTGAACAGTGTTTCACGGGAGAGGCATCTCCCCTTACTAGTTGCCAGCAAAGTGGAATAAAGAGAACTGATTCCTGACTCTCCCTCTGGAGCCAGCACTGCCCCCACCCCCCACCCCCCGCGCCCACAGTCCCTTCCTGGGCAGGCTGCTGGAAGTGAAGTGTTGATGCCTCCAGATCGCACCCCTGCAGCCGGAGGAAGGACTGAGGCTCCCAGCCCAGAGGGGGCATCAGCAGAAAACGGGAGGAGACCCCCCTCCCACACATGTCTTCCTGTCCTGGGTTCCGAAGGTACCAGGAAGAAGGTCCTTTCTGGGAGTCCGGGCACTACCTCCCTTGTTCTGAGGGAAGGCCCCACCTAACCCAGGAGTGGGGCTGGGTCGGGGTGGCCTGGGTCCTTCTGGGCGGCTCCAGGGCCACCTCTCCACCCTGAGGGCCAGACCTCTGCAGGAGCAGCTCCGGCTTCTGCCTGGTGTGCCTCTTTCCTGCTGTGGCTTCACCGTGATTTCTGGGACCAGGTCTGTCTGTATGGTGGGGGTGAGGAGCAGCCGCCTCCTTCCTCCCCTAAGCTCCCAAATCCTCTCTCCAGGGCTGAGCCCCAGGGAGTCACAGCCTCCCAGGTGCAGCTAAAGCTGAAATGTGGTTGGCCACGCAGTCTAGCAGCACCCCCAGCTCTGGGGAGGAGGGGTAGTCAGCTTGGAGTCTGTGCCACTCTCCCCACGCCCAAAAGTCTTTCCCAAGAAAAGAAACTTGTAAGCAAGAAAAGGAATTTATTGGTTGATACACTGAGTGGTGCAGGGACAGCAGCAGCTGCAGGTCTGGCTGGATCCAGGGTATGTGCAGTGCCGCTAGGACTTGGTTCTCTCCTCCCTCAGCCCTGTCAGCTCATCTCTCTGCTGGCTCCCTTCCTCCTCCACCCTGGGGCACTGGGGATCCAGCCTGTGAACTTCCAGGTTTAAATCCAACAAGAACTCTGTATGCATATCTGCCCTGTTTCCTCAGTAAAAGCTGTGGATTTGCTCATTTGGGTCATACACCCATCCCTGAACCAACTGGCATCAGCCCAGCTGGGTCTCCCGAGGCCGATGGCTCCTGGCATAGCTGGTGAGCAGGTAGGCGCGGACTCAGCAGCTAGCGACCTTGACCCTATTGTCCCCTACTTTGGGCCCACGTGGGTGGTGACGAATTAGCCCCAGGAGATGTGAGGTTCAGCAGTGGGAAGGTGGGACGCTCACACTATGCCATCACCTTCTGAGATGAGTGTCGCCCGGGGTGAAAGGCCCCTTCGGTTCGGACGTCGTCACAAAACAGGTGTCTCCGGGGCAGGATGGGCACCTTGCTGACTCTGGGGCACAGGTGGGCATGGGCACTTGGTGTGACATCCTCATGTCTGCATGTCCTCAGCCCACCCCCAGCTCCACACACTTTGGGGAGCCATGGCTTGGGTGTTGCCAGCACCTGATGGGCCACCCAGCAGGACCCCCCAGTCTCTGGGAGTCTGGCTCCCACGCCCAGCATGTGTCACAGCAGAGCAGGCAGCCTCTATCTCAGGGAGAGGAGATGGAGTGCGAAGGGACACCGCGTAGCTTTGTCCCGGGAGTCATGCTCAGGTGTGACCCTAGCCCCTGGCCATCCAGTTATGGGGCAGTGTCCCCCAGTTACAGGACAGTCCCCAGAGCTCAGCTAATGAGCATCTGCCAGTTCCTCTGCGGCCAGGAGCATGTCGCTGAGGGATCCTGGTCTGTCCTCCGACGCCCAGACAAGACCCAGCCTACTTCCTAGAGAGCAAATGGTGCCGCATGTCAAGCACAGAGCTGACTCAGAATCTCAGGAACCTTCTGTGTCCTGGGGACGCTTCTGAGGTCCAAGAGCCACTAGCCTTTCTCCTCACTGCTGGAAGGCCCTACCAGCTTTGGCTACAGCATTTCACTTGGCAACAAAAGCAGGCTGATTGTACCAGGGGTTAATTGAAGCAGTCAAACCCACGAGCAGCTTTGTGTTGTCCTTTGGGACATACGTAGTCAAGAAAGACTTACCTCACTGGGATTCTAAAGGCAAAAAGGAGAGAGTGGACATTGCATCCCATGAGCTCGGTCCATTGGAAGTCTAGAAAGAAAACAGGGTCTTGCATAAGCCAGAAAAACAGGCACAGGACAGCGGCACACCGTTCCCAAGCTGTTAACCTATAGCTTGGAATTTAGCAGCCCTAGTCATGCAAAACTGAAAATATGCAGAATTTTAACAGCAAGGCATATGTTAAAAATCGTCAGCTGTTTGTGGTAGGTGAGCGTGACGTTGTAAGGCCCCTTGACGAACTTCCCAAAAGATGCTGTGACAGTGGACTTCTAAAGGCTCAAAGATGCTCATTTCACTTCATACACACACAGTCTGCTTCTAGCACTTTGTCCTCAGTTTTTATACAGTGGAGGTGTGCAGGGCGCTCGCCTGGGGGTCCCTGGGCTGGGGGCGGCCCATCATCCTGGAGGTGAGCAGTGGTGGCCACCGGAAGACGATGGGGTCCTGCCCGGGTGGCACACATCCATCTGGGAACTCCCCAGCCCGCAGGGGTCCCTCCGTGTTCTGCCAACTGCGGGCCCTTCCCGGCCTCATCATCCTCTGTCGCTTCGCCCAGGGCTCTTTGAAGGATCAGCTTGAGCGGCTCCCTCGGCTGCTGCCTCCGGACGCCCCCGATGAGGAAGTAGATGGCAGGGTTCGCAGCGCTGTTGACAGAGGACAGGAGGACACAGATGTCGTTGAGAGTCTGGTCGTCCATCTTAGGGACGAGGAACCTGATGACGCTCAGGGGCAGGCCACAGAGGAAGAACACCAGGACGGTGAGCAGGACAACCAGGTAGAGCCTCCTGGGCTTATGCTCGTGGACGCTCTGCCGCACACGCCGGAGCAGCAGCAGGCTGGACGAGCCCATGATGGAGAACAGGAGAGAGGCCCACGTGCTGGCGACGGCTGCGAGCGCCGAGCAGGACTCGGTGGTGTTGGTCAGCAGCTGGCCGCAGGCGTGGCCTCGCAGTATATTCATCAGAAAGGTCAGAATCCAGAGCAGGGCGCTCACGACGGCAGACAGGTGCTTGGGACAGTGACAGCGATACCGAATAGGGAACTGGGCGGACAGGCAACGCTGAAAGCTGATGGCGGCCATGATACCCAGGCCAGTGAAATAGAAGAACAACCTTCGGACCATGAAGATTCCCGGGAGGCAGAAGCAGTAATTAAGGAAAAACTTCAGGATCTGGCGGAGAGAGTACACGATCTGGAAACAAAGGTGCATGAGATCCGCAATGGCGAGATTGAGGCTGTAGACAGAGGAGTTTTTCCTGATGGACAAACGGACAAGCCAAATGACGATTCCGTTTCCCGCCAGCCCGCAGAGCGCCACGGCCACCGTGACGGAGCGGAAGAGAGCGCCTGGCCGGTGTCGCCCGCCCCCGGGGCCGCCCCAGCGGTGCCATTGGCGGGGTCTTTGAGTGCCTCGCAGAACTGGTCCATGACGGGAGGGCCGAGCGCAGGTCGGCTCGGGCGGGTTCCTCTGGTCTGTGGGTCCTGGGCACTCCTGCGGGGGCAAAGGCAGGTCAGGCTCTGAGCAGATGTGGGGGAGGGGGAGAGGGCAGCACCCGATCTCAGCCCTTGGTTGAGGGGAGAAGAGGCATCCAGCTGAGTTGACCCTAGAAGACTTCGTAGAAGTTATCAGGAAGGAGATGATACACAATGCAGAGAAATAGCTCGAGGTGGGCCCAAGGCTTGGGGGGACATGTCCCCTCCAAGCTGGGACTCTACTATGGCCAGTGCATGACGAGCAGTTTGAGGAGGCGGGGGTCGGGGTTGCAGCCATCTGGTCCACCTCCTCTCTTAGGCCCAGGGGTTCAGTGAGCTCAGAAGCAGCAGGCGCCCTGGTGTCGGCAGTGTGAGCCGAGCCGGAGTCCCTGTGGGATGTCACCCACTCCATGTGCTAACGCGCCAGGAAGGAAAGCCAGCGACCCAAAGGCACTTTGCGGCCCCCATGGGCTCTGAGTTCCAGTACCTTAGTAGCTATGGTGACAGACGTGTAGCTCCTGCCAAACATGCTCGTGTCCTAATCCCCAGAACCTGAGAATATGTTAGGTTGGCAAGAGGGAATTACGGTTACACACGGAATTGGGGTTGCTACTCAGCTGACCTTAAAATAGGGAGAGTATCCTGAACTATCCGGGTGGGCCCGAGGGGCCGGCACAAGGGTCCTTGTGCGAGTCGGAGGCCTGGTCTGCGGTGGTGAGGACAGCGGGCGGGCCGTGGGCGGGAAAGGCTGGCGGCCTCCAGAGGCCAGAGAACAGGCAAGGGGCAGAGCCTCCCCAGAGCTCCAGGAGGAGTGTGGCCCTGAGGACACCCCGATTCGAGCCCACTGAAGCCCACCAGGGTCCGGGGCCTCCAGAACCTTAAGGTGGTACATTGGTGGAAGCAGCAGCAGGAAGCGCCTGGCAGCGGTCCGCTCAGTCGCTGGAGGGCACCCACGTCTGCCTTCAGGGCCTCACGCTGCTTCGCCGTCTCCTCGTGACCGCCGGCCCTTGTGTTCCACTCAGACTTCAGCTCCTCTCCTTTCCTCGTTCCCCCGAATGGTGATGTTTCCCAGGCCACTCTTCTTGGCATTCTGCTCATACAACCATGTCCCTGGTTTCTGATCCCATCCGTGCCCAGGGCCCCGTGTTGGTCGCTCAACCCCCAGCTTCATGTCTTTGGCCTCCATTTCTCTTGAGCTCCTGCCTCACTTACCTAACCGTCCACTGATAACACCAGGTGAAATACCATCCCCCAAACTTGTGCTGTCCGCTCCAGGGTTCTTACCTCTACAAATACATAACCACACAAAATCCAGTCCCCCCTGTCTGGAATGAGGGAATCACCGGAGGGCACCAGGGGGGACAAACGAGGGGGACTTTGGAAGAGAGCCATGGTCTGGAGGTGGGTTTAGCCGACCTCACAGTCCAGTGTCAGCTGGAACTGCGGAAGACGATGCTGTCACAGAGAGAGGGGACGAGCTGCAGGATGCCACCCAGTGGGTGGGCATGAGAGGCCCAGCAGAAGCACACT